ATAAATTAAAGCAGCATTGCACCTTTAAACCATCTTAAAACTGTCTATTTAGACATCTTTACATTTAACAAAAAACACAACCATGATGGCAATCATCTGAAAGGTTTAGGTACTTATACTATTTATAAAAAGACCTTTTGTTCGAGAACTATAACTCAAACACACTGTTGGTGTTGAAAGTATCAGAGGAACGACAAAGACAGATTACAGTTGAGCGCAAACACAGTAAATTTATTTAATCTGATTAAATAAATTAGTCAAAGGGAAAAAAAAAAATTCAAAATGTATTTATATGACTTTGCATAGATTTTGGCTGCATGAGGCCAAACATCTGGAAGACATTAAAGAGGCTCCGATGTGACTTTTTGTCTGGTTGGTGAACAAACAGTCAGCAGGTCAGAGGGTTAGCGGTTAGCTCTCCAGCTAGCACTAGCATGTTAGCAGTTAGCTCGCCAGCTAGCACTTGGACCTGATCCTAACGTGAGGGTTTAGTTCTGTCCTGAAATCGAGTGTTTGGGTTCTTTATACAAACTTTACATAAGTCTGCATTAATGCAGGTTTTGCCTGAGGGAATTACCCACAATTGATAGCGTTGTGATGTTAAACACGGGGTTACCAGTGGAAGCATGGAGACGTAAAAAGAAATAAAAAAGGTAAACAAAGGTAAACAATAATATTACACTTACAAACATCAACATTGAGGATTAAAGATGGAACATAAAAACACATGAAATCAGAGGAATATTGCACAAATTTATTCATCAAACATTTCATTTAGTTATTGAAGCTTTGTGGACCAAAACGAGTAAATAGATTATTTAATAACTACCTCTCATCTTGTGAGGGAAAAACCTGGAAGACGTTTAAATCTGGGAGTAAAAAAATAAACAAATATAAACCCACACTTGATCACACGTGATATGTGGCAGTAAAGTGCTTTACCATTCATATTAACAGTTCAGGCTTTAGGGGAACACTGGGATCTGTTTTTAAATCTGTCTCATGACAGTTTAACGGAAGTGCAATACTTTAATTTGACTCATAAATAGAACATGCAGATTTTACAGTTACGTTTGTATTTGGAACTCAATTATTTATCATTTCAAGCCCTGTGTAATATTATTGTAATATCTTAAAAAGGAGTTTTCAGAGGAACATTTATTTATTGCATTACCGCGTTTTTCTTTGTCATATATTAAATAATACTTGTATTTGTTCTGAGACAGATTAGAATAAAATCGTAACATAACATTTTATACTCTCATCATATTTTTGTTCCAGAGTGTCACAAGAGAAGAACTGAAATGCATATTTGAAGAGCTCTCTGTTGAGGTTTAAACATCTCTGAGTTGAGGAAGTGCTAAATCAAAGTCAGGGCATCTCTTTGTGAATATTTGTAGACTGAAGTCGTCTCTTTACATTAATAAAGACGTCTCTCCTGGACCTCCAGTTCAGACCTGACCTCTCTGTGGTTATTTGCCGTATCCTGACGATGGAGGCAGAGAATCCTTCTCCAGCATCCTCAGCGTCTGTCGGACTCCTTTCTCCACCCGTCGGAAGTGAAACCTCTTCCAGATGCTCTGCTGCTGCTGACGGCCCCAATCCAGGTCCCTGAGGAACACCTTCACACACAGAGAGAGACGGGGATCTACTTTTTACATGAATGATCAAATGCTAACTGCTGCAGTGAAGCTTTATCAATGTATTCACCTATGTGAGTGGATTTCTGCTTTGTTGTTTGTAACGCTGGTTCTGTTTCCATAGAGGAGCAGGACTTTTATTTTGAAGTTTCTGAGTTTACCTTCAGCTGCTGTATGATACGTTCTCGGTCCCAGGACGAGGTGTTCTTCCGGATCACGCTGAGGATTGGGTGCCAGTCCTCCGAGATGTCGGAGCCCTCGGTGACTGAAACCAGGACCTTGACCCGCCGGCCTCCTTGGCTCTTGGGAACACCTCGGACATACAGGGACTGCTTCCCCACATCGCTGAGAGGGTTCAGATACAAGCTGCACAAAGACACCAACATAAAAACGTACTAATGGATTACAGACTTTACATTAAAGCACACCTTCAGTTAGGGCTGACCCCCGAAACCTGGTTCTAAATGAGTAAAGCACGGAGTGTTGATGCTGTACGGAGTTAGCGGTTCTGCTATCGGGAGTCTGATCAGAAGAACAGGATCACCGATGGAACATAATCACTGAGATCATTGTTGAGCTGAGAATGTATTTAAAGATTTCAGAACTTCTTGTGTTGCTGCTCAAGAAAGATTATTTGTTTACAAACAAGAATAATAAAGAAATGTGGATTATTTTCTTAATTAAACATCTTTTTTTTCTCACAAAATAACCAAAAACAACCGATAAGACTATCGATAAGAAACCGAACTGATCACGAGTAGTAGGATCAATAAAATCCTGTTGTGTTGATCCGATCCGTGACTCTAATGATCTGCTGTTCAACTAGTTAGTAGTAAGTTTACAGCTATTAAAAATAATAATACATATATATATATATATATATTTGTTTTTCTGTATGAGCCGAAACTCAGGTTCAGGTATCGGAATCGGTATCAAGAAGGACAACTTGGTATCAGAGCATCTCTGTCTGAACAGTGTTTATGGTATTTTAGGGATTAATAATGAGCTGCTTACTGCACGGTGTGGATGCCGGCGTGCTCCCTGCAGGCGTCCACTAAAGCCAGCGCGGCGTTGTCCCCGATGTTGTTGTAGGCCACGTTGAGCTCCAGGAGCCCCGTGTGCTGCTGGAGCCTCTCGGCCAGCTCCAGGACCCCCTGGTCCCCCAGACCCGTGTGCATCAGGGACAGGTGGGTCAGGGACCGGTTCTCAGGTAGAGCCTCCAGCAGGGTACGAGCTCCAGACTCCAGCAGAGGGTTGTCACACAGTCTGAGGAGCACGAGGGAATAATAATGAGACAAGGCCGGTCTTCTGCTGAGAACAGACCAGAGACTGTAGGAGAATGGACTCTGTATTCTACTACTGTATATATATATA